AGATTCTGATCAAATCACACCAAAGTACTATAAAAAGTATCTCCTATGGGTATGTGCAGATAACACTACCATTTCTTTTGTATTTATTTAATACTTCCAAGAGAAAGAGTATTTGTAAAAAGCACTTGTCAAAAACAACTTAATAAGCAAACTTAATAGTTTAGATGTTATGCATTTCTTAAGCGACTAAAAACATAACTTTCCTACAATATTTCTCAAACATTGAAATAATATTAATCACAACCTCATAACTGATTTTTCCTATGGTATCACTCATGAAACTTTGACTACTTTTACATTTGGAGGTTAGTATGGCTTAATTCTGTGGGTTAGAGAAAAGGACAGAGAGCTTCTCCATCACCAGTTTTGTCAGTTCTTTCTATTTGCTCTCAAATTTTCTCTGAATTTAACGAAAGTGACATAGAGCAACACATTTGAAATATACTTTTAAAGGTATTATATCTGTCTGATTCATCATGTTGCATATTGGTTTGTTTGGAATATGCGTAGGTAAAAAAAAAAGTAGGAGGGGGTGTTGAATCATGTATTTGTAAAGCCACATAAACTTTTATCTTCTGTCAAACAAGCCCAAACTCCTAGTGTACATCCCTGAAAAGGAAGAAGGACTAGCTTTGTTTTCTGACGGAGCTGTACCAAACAACTCTCGGAGGCGGTCACACAAACAACACACCGTAAAGAACCCGGCATAAAATAGCGTGTTTTTATGGTTTGCTGCCAGAGAACTGAGCTCCACAGTGGGATAAATGGCTCCATCTTAAAACATGGGCACAAAGGAGAATAGGAAATATGGGATTTATTGCTTTAAAATCAAACTAACAATGTATTACAGCAGTACATTGGGAAAAAATATAAAATGCTCTGAGCCCACTAAATAACTATGAAGGATGAGAAGGTGCTTGAGCTGTAGACCACGTGAGCAGCTCTGTTGCAAGACATATGAAAACCTCTTCAGATTGGTTTCCTTCTCCAGTTCAGAAAAGAAAAAGAGAGGAAAGATAAGATGGATGGGGGAAATCACAAACAAGCACAATATAAATGAGTCTCTCAGCATTAGTGCTCCATCAACTGCTGTTTTCTGGTGCACTTTTCATTATGCAGTTCCAAGGGCTACCTTTTGACCTCTGTTAATACCCTTAGAAGGAACATTTGCTTTTGATTTATTTACTAAAGAAAAGCAAGTGTTGATCCTGAAAAAAGTACTCAATTAATGTAGAGTGTCAAAGATTAGAATGAATCTAATTTCATTAAGAAAAATTGAAAAAATAAACTGTTCCTTATTGTTTTCATGCTATTGGCACACCACATTTTAATGTAAAATTTCTCAGAGAGTAATGTTGAATATTTTCTGTCTCTAAATCAAGACAAGGGAGCCCTATTAGCGAACGTCTTCTACCTCCCAGGACACATGGATACCACGATTCGTCACTCTCTAAGTCTGCCAAGGGACAGGAGTCACTGTTGGTCTTCGGTAATTGCCAGCAACTTCAGATTTCGCCAAAAACTGGCGAGACGATTATAGGCCATAAAATAAAAACGAGGGCGTAGGGACAACTTGTGGGCCCTTAGCTCTGTCTGGGGACTTGTATGGGTATTGGACTATTTTTAGTCCAGAAAAGTAAGGAGCAGCGTGGGAAGGCTAATAAAGCTTGGAAAGGGGAGAACTGACACGCATGGGGACTTCCAAATGAGAGTCCCTTCGCCCAGAACACCGGCCTCATCTTCCCCTGGACCAGTCTTACTCAGCCCCCACGTTCCTCTCAGGCATCATCTCCTTCAGGAGCCTCCTTGAACTCCCCTCGTAGGCTTCACAGCCCTGACCTGAGTGAGGAGCTTTCCCCGTGAGGCCCCCTCGCTGTCACAGCCCTGATCCTCCCATCTTGTCACTGTTTCCCTCCCTTAACCGTCACCCTCAGCAGACTGGCCTGAAGAGGACAAGATCTGTAACTTATCTGACTCTGTCTACCCAGCACATAGGCACAAAATGAAAGTGTACTAAATGAATAAATAAGTAGGGTTAACGTCTGAGGACATGTTTTATACTGTACAATCTTCCTTCTTTTTTTAAAAAGAAGCATGTATTTTGTTTGTCTTGCAAGGTAAATTCTGAAAAATCTATGCAAGTTGCAAATACCTTCCAAAATGAGAATGATTAGATGCTTTATAAGGAAAAATATGGGGTTATACAGGGGGTTTTTTTGGTCTTTCTCAAAGGAAAGTTAGTTGGCATAGCATAAAATAACACAGGTTAGAAATTGTATGCCTAACACTGTTTCTTACAAGCCAAGAAACCTATGTGAGGTCACTTCTTCCACCGAAACATGGAGACAATCCTGTCTGTGGTTGCTGTCAAAATTGTTGGAAGGATCAAGTAAGTTAACGGGAACGAAAGTATTTTAAAGACTTTCAGTTGGCATATTAAAGGTATTAAGATACTAAAAAAGCATATATGAGCTTTACTTACATAGAATTTTCTACTTCATCTTATACAGGGTGAAAATTGAGGAATACGTTTTGGTGACAAGCTTGACTTTGACATTGTCACTGTCAGTCCTTGGATGTAAGTAGGATTTTTTTTGGCCTATCACCTTGATCTATTTCAGTTATTGTCACTACCACCACCACCACATCATCAAATCTGGAACTTTAACGAGGCTCGAGCCTCTTTCATGCTCCCTTTTGGTGAAGTCAAAATTCAGTATAAAGGACAAAACTTCTCCATGCCTGTTTCAAATGTGTTAACATTGGCTACAGCATACTGAGCCAGCCCTGGTGGTCCCATGGTTAAGATTCTGTGCTCTTACTGCCATGGCCCGGGGTCACTTCTGGTCAAGGAACCACTCTACTCATCTATCAGTTATCATAGTGGGGCGGCTACGTATTGCTGTGATGCTGAAGGCTCAGCCACCAGGATTTCAAATACAGGCAGGGTCACTCATGATGGACAGGTTTCAGCAGAGCTTCCAGACTAAGACAGACTAGGAAGAAGGACCTGGCCACCCACTTCTGGAAAAATTGGCCATGAAAACCCTATGAATAGCAGCAGAGCATCTTATGATACAGCAGCAGAAGGTGAAAGGATGGCACAAAAAGATGAGGCGGGGTTCCACTCTGCTGTGCACCGGGGCACTAGAAGTCGGAGTTGATAGGATGGCACTAACAACAGCAAACAGCGCATTGGCTTTGAAAAGCTCCTTGGTGGACCAGAAGCAAAATTAACACCAGCTGCCATGTTCTTTGTGGCATTCCTGCATGTGGCAGAATAAAATAGAAGATAACTGGCCCCAACTGGTCTCCACTGTGATGTGAGACAGCGCAAAGCAGAAAACCTATGATTAGCTATAATATTATTGGCTAGGTTATAATATAATGGAGTAATATTGAGACTTTACCATTCTGTCAATCAGACAATTTAATAGCATCCTAGAATTCAGAATTATCATGACTTGAAATGTTTTTCAAGGCCAATGAATTAATAATCAGTTTTACAAGCACTTGATTGACGTTCATCACAGTGAGGAGGTACCCTAGGGTCTCCTCCCTCTCACCTTTGGTCCAGAAATGACATGTGTTGCAGAAGTTCAGTGTTGTCTGAAAACCACTCCAGTGCCACTGCAAAGATCTTGCTGCACAAAATTTCAAGATGGCGCATTGGCTTTCTAACCCAGCCACTTGAGGTGTGATAACTCATTACTTGAAGAAATACTTTCTCAAGTTCTACAAGCCAAGGCAGTGATGTGGCAGTTACAAATTGCTTCCTGTCCATCACAGAATATAGAAATTTCACACTACCCTTCACACTAATCAAAATTCTTCCCTTGAACATAAGTTATTTGAACAATTCCATTACTGAGATGTCTGATAACCTTTTTCTCTTTGGAGAAATGCACAGAAACCATTCAAAATCATTGTATCACCCCTGCTACACTCCATGATATGAGCTTTGTGACTAGAATTTAACACCTCCATACGAGAGAGAGAGAGAGAGAAGCATCAGTAGTTTATTGAGCTCTAAATTCTTTAGTTTCTCCCAAAAGAATACTTGTCCTCTAAGATATATCTTCAAAATTCCTGTCATAATATTATAAAATATCCTTCTAAAGGATTGTTCAGTGAAAGTTTACCAATTCAAAATGGTAGAACTATATGGTATTAGTTCACATAATTATTGTGTCATTATATAATTCCTTACCTTTGTATCCTTGGATCTTCACAGTAGAATCATGCACAGAACTCTAAATTCCTTTCCTTTTATAGTATGCCATGCAAGACCTATGTACTTCTTAACAAATAAATATTGTGCTATCCATATAATTTTCATTCTTGTTAATCAAACAGCGTATGGCTTGCTAACTTCGTCTCTTACACTGATTGGCATCCCTCACCCCCAGCCCCTCACGGGCACATGTACACACATACACATTTCATCCAAACCAGCCAGCCTCCAGACCTTTGGATGTGGCCTACTCATGCTCTACTTCTTTTTCCTTTAATGCCCCTTCCTAGAATACACTTTCTTCTCTTCTTTTGCCAATTCAAATCCTTCCATTTCAAGGTGCATTGCTTCCACAAAGCATGGGGTTCTTGACTAACTGAATCTACCACCCATCGCAACCCTACCTCATACATTCTCATTAGTGATGTACATACAATATGTACCACACCAGGATAGATTTCTTTTAAGTGGCCTCAGAAGAATTCTGGATGCTCTAGGCAGACATGTAGCACCTTCCAAGTAGACTTTAAGCTCCTCAAGACCAGGAGCCATCTACTCAGCTTCCTCTGATTCCCCATTCCATCTGGTACATGCTATGCTCAAAACAGGCACTAGAGGCTCTTTGAAAAAGTGCATGAATGAATTTAAAAAATGAATAACTGCTCATTATTTAAGACATTCAATGATTATCAAAGATGTCTGAAGTATTAATTTTTAGCGATCTGGTTTTGTTTTAATCTACCACAGTGTATGGTTTTATACTTACTGGAACAGAAACTTGAGGATTATCTGCGAGTTTTCCCAGCACAGCAAAGCCGTTGATGTCGATTGGGCCTCTTGGCTTGATGGGTAAGGACTCAATTTTGTTGCAGTCAACAAAGAGAGTAGCACTACTCCTCTCCACGCCAATCATGAGCTTATGCCACTGGGAGTCAAACAAGGAGGGCAAATTCGAAAAGGCTGCGGTTTGGAGACTTCCATCCAATCCCTTGTAGGAAAATGAGACAGATTTCGTTTGGCCATTAATCTTCACGCCAACTTGCTCCTTCCCTGAGGAATCCTGAATCTGCCAAATGCTCCAGTTCTTTTTAAGTGTGCTCCCAGTCATCCGAAAAGTAGTTAGAAAGGAGTATTCTTCAGGCAATCCACTGGGATATAAATGCCTGAGTAAAATTTAAAACAGTAAATTAAATCTTGTTTTCTGTACCCATGCATATTACCGTATTCCCTTCTTATGCTATTTTAGATTCTAGACCTAGAGAAAGGCTACAGTGTGAAAAACTATGCACTATTTGTTCTTTCATGATGTTCATAAACACCCTCACAGAAGTCCAATCATTCATGTACATTAACGCTTCATCTTAAAATACACATCCAAAAAAAAACCTTCCCTCATGGCTGGGGAGAGTTCCCTATGCCACCTAATTGCAACAATATTACTATTTATGCTACCTAAAGAGCTACTGTTCAGCAATTCCATCTCAGCCAAAAAACACATTCCTGCAAAGTTCTTGGCAACACTTGTTCCACAAATGAAAAAAAAGAGATCATGTGGAATCCAAATCAGCTCCGCTAGTTTATGAAACCATTTAATTAAATCAGCTTTTAAATTTTTTATTTTAATGTAACATGTTAGGATTATTTGCTATTTCCATAATTGCTTGGTATTCCCCTTCAAATTATATTTGAGACCCACACAAGCATTTTGAGAATCAGTGACCGTGCAGATTTGAGAAGCTTCTTCCCACTGAGAATGTTCATCTTTTGCAGAGAGTTCAAAGTGTGATGTTAATGTACCAGCTGGTTGTTTGTCACTGGAGGTGTGACAAAGGAAAGGTGACCAGTTCTTAATACCCTGCTCCGACCGAGTTGTTCCTCAATCTGACAACCAGGTCTGGCTCGTTGCTGCCTTCCTTTACTGCCTTCCTTTACTGCTAAATGGCAGCATGAGACCATCGCTGTCCCTAAGGTGTCTCCAGTCTACGTGGGAACTGAGCTGCAGATGCAGCAACTGCCTGGATCTTCTTCTGCGGAAGTCAAGCTGCTGAGGGCTGAAGATGGACGTTTCAAAAAGTCAGGACATGTTAAATGTAAACATCATTTTCCAGCAGCTTGAAGGTTACATCCTTGTACTTTTCTCCTTCTAAGTATAGAAAAATGCCGAAGTAAGGAAGAAATGCTAGGAAAACTGGATGCAAATTGTTTGCTAAATAACAAAATTTGACATTTCTGAGAACGGTTATGGACCAGGACCCAAAGTCCCAAATAACCTTCCTTCAGGTCAAATTCCTGTTATATAGCCCCCTTCTTGTGAGGAGTGAAGAAGAGAAAGGCAAGAAGAAATATCTAAGTGGATGCTGATTTAATCTGTTATAACTAAAACAAACAGCACATACAGTGATTGCATTGGCCGATGTGTTGCTGCCAATTACACTAAACCATATTAGAGGGGTCAAGAATTTCTAACCTAAAAAATTCCTTTGATCCAAGATTGTTTAGCAATAAGGGAAACTACTTAACTTGCTAAGATTTTCTATCTTTACTTTGACTTTAACTATAAAACTTTACCATCCCTTATAATAACATAAAGGAACATATATTTTTTCACTGCAAATATTTTTGTAAACCTTCAATAAAATGGGTCAATTATGTCAACAAATTTCATTGCTTTGTTAGTTTTATAAAAATAAAAAATGTGAAACTTTTTATCTGAGTACTTACATCATCAAGGTACTTCTTTCAGCCATTATTTTCAAATTTTCGTTTTTATGTATAATACTGGGTGAATTCCTTTGTCACTACACATTTTTAATGATCACTGATGATGTGTACTATACTCATTGCAAAGTTTTCAATTCACTAAATATCTTTTATGTCTGTTAAGTGTATGGGAGAATTTTAACACGTACATTTTAAAAGATTCTGTTTGGAGCTAAAGAAGAAAAAATGATACAAGAACTATTTTCCCAGAATGGAAATGTCTACCACATCTATTTTTACGTGTTTTCAATATAGATGCTGTTTGTCATATTTTCTTTGACTTTAGATTTTCCAGAATACACAGATATCAGAATCACCTCTAGAAAAGAAATCTTGTTCATTAATGACAGTATAATATATTGCCTATTGTATAATTATAAAACCTCTTGCAAGTTTATGCATCTCATTTAACTGACCTCAATTAATTTGGAGCTACAAGATAAGTTTTAAAGTTTTACTCAATGGTGGAATTTGACAAGTATTCCTTTAAATTATGAATAGATTCCTTAGAATATTCTTTTTAATTAATGATCTGGATTTAACCAGATGCTCAAAGAATTTATTCATCTTTTTTATCCAAGATGGTTGTTGTGGAGATGTGAGGTTTTCATAGAAGGAAGATAAATCCCAGTGTTTTGCCTTCTTCCCTTCTTTAAAGCATTCTTTTTCTAGGTTTTTTAAAATCTATGTTGCCTATATATTTGTTTACAGATATACTGAGCAGTCCTGTAGAATTTCATCAGTCCCTAGAAAAAACAAATCTATTTTGTTTTTATTCTAGAAATCTCAGTAACTTGCTTAAGTGACTCTTTGCAAAGACGTCATGTGGTTAACTGAGGAATCTCTCCCAATTTGTGCTTCGTCCAATCTTTCCCTCTAAATGAGCAGAGATTATGTGGAAGTAGGATAGGACATAATGTCCCCATTTCTCTCTGACTTGTTTATACAATGTCAAAAACTTTTTCAAAAATGGGGTGGTGGTTGAAGTTGCTAGAAGAACAACTCATTTACAGACATATTGTTAAAACAAGGGTATCCATCTGTCTCTCTTTCTCCATATACATGAAGATAATGTATGTGTGTGTGTATACAGGTATAATCAAGGTTATCATGTTATTTATCTTTGAAACTAGGCTAATACAGCATGTCAATATGGTAAGAGGAGAAAATTCCTTTTGGTGTTGAAATTAATAAAATGTATGTGTGTTTGTATATACCTAAGACCATTTAAAAGTCCTCAGAAGTCTGATTTATAGAACAGTCAGTCCCATTGTCTGTTTGGAATACCTGAGATTCTGTTCTTGCAATATGCTGTGCACATCGATAAGTAAACTTGACAGCATACATAATTTAAAAAGAAGCTAGATCTATAAATGATCTATTTCATTATGTTACAGTCTGCACAGAGTACCTTAAAAGGAGAACCATAAGGGTTTGAATAAAAGATAAGAACTCTTTAGACCTTGAAAGATTTGCTTATGACCTTAGCCCAAAGAAAAGCTAACGATTGCATTTGTTAGGCAAACAAACACAACGTGTTTGTAAGTATGAGTTGAGAATTTGAAACTATTATGCCTAAAATAAAGAATAAAAAGCAGCAAAAAATTGTCTTATAGTCTTTCAAAAAAATTGAAAAGATAAACAAGGATAAATTGCAACTCTATCACGTTAGCTCCACGTGCCATACTCTTCTTTCCACCCTCATGAAGATCCCGTTCATGGTTTCTTTTCACCCCTCGGAGCCTATATTCTCCAGCATAGAAATTCCCTTTAAACCAAGACAGTCAGCTCCCTGAGTGGTCTGAGACAATCCAAGTCTCTGCCTTTCTTGCCACTTGGCTTTTGAAGGAGTAACACTTGGAGGGCAGCTTGAAAAGAAAGACTCCGCTAAGGAGAAAGACCCCATCTGAATGCACTCTCTCCGCTACTTAGAGTGAACACTTATCTAAAACCACCATGTACCAGGCTCGATTCAAGCCCTCTCCACTTATTAACACTTAGCCCTCAGGATAACTCCGTAACATAGTTATTATTATTCCTAATTTTAAACTGAGGGAACTGAAGCAAAGATAGCTTCAGTAACTTTCCCAAGAGTAGACTTTATTTCCTATTTGGGACTCCATCTGTCTCAGCCCTCTGACTCCCCTCCTTCACTTTTTATTTCTATCTTCTACTTCCTCCTTCCTTCTTTCTTCATCTCTTAATAAGCCTTGCCAGTAAAACAGGAGCTTTTAGTCTTCGTAGGGGCAAAGAGTCAAGGAAACAGAGGATAAGGGACATTGGTTGTAGCCTGTGGAAAATATTAAGTGATAGCTCTAGGCGCTTAGAGAAGAACAGCCACAAAGCAGAGCAGGAGATAGGGAGGCTGTGGCCTCAAGTTGATCGCTCTCTGAATTTAGAGTTAATGACAGTCCAGATTGTACCTTAAATTATAGAAGAGAAAATTATGTCAGCATTGGAAGTCTTGCGTCATGTTTAATTATTTTATTAAAGAAAAAATGAAAGGTTTTTAAAGATTATTTAAGAACACAACTAGGACTTCTGTACGTGAAAAGAAAATATAAGCAAAAAAAACTTCAACAGCTGTTATCACACCTTTAGTCTTTCCAAGTGAAGGGTTTTTAGGGTTGGTACCGAATAGGGGTCAGAAGCGCAGCCTCTGAAGCCATTCTACCTAGGCTTCAGTCCTCCCAGCGCCTCCCAACCCTGTGACCCTGTGCAAGTCACTTCCACTTTCCGGCCTCAGAGTCCTCCTCTATAAAACATGGATGATAACGTCCCCACCACAGTAGTATGATGAGGATGAGATGTAATGTTAATTAGTAAACTTATAAAAAGAGCTTATATAGTGCACTATTATTGTTTTATAAAATACAGTATGTTCAAAACATGAATTCCTATCTGCAGTCTGGCACTATATCAGAATATTCTAATTTGACCAATTACTTTCCTATTTAATCATTATTTATCTTTACACCTTAATTTCTATCAATGTCCTAATTTTTTTGTTCATCTACCAAAGAAATCTTAATTCTATTTTCTTTGCAGTGCACTAAAATATACAGTAACCATAATAATCACATATCAGGTATTTAGGTGATATAAAATTGAAACCCTGGAGCTGGTTCATAACAGCATGACTCGACCCTTGCATGTGCACTAAAGCACCTCAGTTGCAAATAACCTAAGGAGTAAAAGCCTTAGTTCCAAAGAAAGATAAATGAAGTGGAGAATTTTTTAAATTATCACCACTGCCGTTGTTTCTGTTATCATTATTCTAGTTTTACTTTTGTTCGTTTCCTGCCAGGAGCCCAAGCACTGGATGTGTGGTTCCATTTCAGCACCAGGAAGCTTGAACAGCACCATTGTGAGCCTTCTAGCCACTCCGTGGTTCCTTGGTAAATTTATGCTTAACCTCTGGCGCATTTCACAGAGGGTCCTTTCAGTCAAAACCAGACAAATTATAGAAAAACAGAGAGCAAAGTAATAAGAACATGTCTTGAATCAATATATAATGGTCTCAGTGATTTTTTTTCCTGGAATGGAAAGTAAATTACATACTGAAAACATGAGGAGCATTCACATATTCAGGCACTAAAGATAGATAGGTAAATACATTCCTTCATCTTTAAACAAAATCGTGATCCAAGAAACAGTGAGCATGAGAAGATTTTCTAACATTGGGTATCTTTTCATTTTTTAAGATACATTCGAGGCACGGAATTAGGTAGAAGTTTTTACGTTACCTCGTTGGAATCCTGAAGTCTACATTATTTCCCAGTTTGTAAGCCACTTGTAATGCAGTTGATCCCACGATCCTCTGGATCGCTCTACTGGATGCTGCTTTATCAACCTGGAACTGAGAAATCAGGTCAAACCCTACAGAAAGGGAACACAAAATAAAAAGTTCACAGTGAGATTGGTTTTTCCCCTGTCCACAACCTTCCCCAATAAAAGAATGTATCAGCTGGGTTTGTAGAAAGCAGGCATTTTCCATATGATACACTGCTACTCACCTGGTAAATCATCTTGGCCAATCCTGACCTTTGGACAGAGTTCATTTTCACCATTAGAATTTGAATTGACAGGGAACCCTGCAAAAGAGAGAGAGTGTCATCCTATCTCATCTCCTACAGGGATCGCGGGGACATTTCAATAAGAAGAGCTGAGCAACCATTTAGAGTACAGTATTACACCAAACTGCTTGCTTTTAAGTCGTGTATTTGGCTTTAACTCTATGACTTTATGATTATAATTCACTCATCTTCGACTCATCTTGGAAGTAAGGCAAGGCACAAATAATTTGTGCCCAGGAAACATTCCTTTGGGGGAAGTTAGGAATTTTTTCCTTTTGGAACCAGAGCTGCACAATGTTCTGAATGGCACAGTGTCAGAAGTCTGCTTGGAAAACTTCTGGTGGTTTGGGCTAGAAAATATTCCTTAGACACCACAAGTTTTAGAATTCCTAAGAGAATCCAGAGCCAGCCTTGAGAGAGTTCAGTGGGACTTCTGGAGATTGGCGTTCTTAGGAATCTGTGTCAAATACAGAAGGGGTTCGGGGGACTCTTGGGATTCACTCACCCTAAGTAAAATATAAAGGATGCTTTTAATTTAATAAGTTTATTCCAAGAGATCAAATAAGGGTCCCAACTAGACTATGGCTAGCATCCTAAAATGGGGAAGAGTAATGAGAAGAAGAAAAGAATCCTGAGGAATTCAATCCTCAACTCGATGAGAAATTATGGAATGAAATTGGGTGCTCCTTGCACAAGTGAAAAGTTGTAGGAAGGGAACATTTCTTCACCACCACAGAAGGCTTCTTGTAACAGTCCAACTCCAGCGCCCTGCTGAGACTCACCTGCCCGCAGAGACTTCCTAGACCTCAGGAAAAGCATTTCCTAGTTACAAAGCTTTCGCCCAGCATCCCAGTACATCGAACAAACTCTTTACACCTCCCCTGACCCCATATTATTGGCTTCTGTGCATCCATCCATCCATCCATGCAACTCTACCCATCACCACCTGAACCAGGTGGGCACTGTGCTAGGCACTGGAGCACACACACTGTCTTTCCAGCCAACTCTGATCACAGCCAGGACTTCTTCTCCGTACCCAGCATTCATCACATAGGGTGCACCTGCGGCCAAAGAGGATGGAAGAGGAGGGTGTGAAGGACCACGGGGGTCTCTGCACCCTCACTCAGCCACAGCCCTGCCTGGTCCTTTCTGGGAAGAAGTCATACTTCACAATCGAGAAACTGTAGCCCTTACTTGGGCGACGCTTGACAGCCGCACGTGCCCGGGGACCCAGGAAACTGCATACAAAGAAGAAAACCGGAAGTTTCCTGAAGAGGAGAAAAGAAAAATGACTCAAACAGGAGTCCCTCCAGACAGGGACAACTTTAATATTTTTAAATGTGGTAAACCTAATTGATGCAGGTGATCAAATCTCAGAATAGTCTATTTTTTCCATTTTGACTTTGAAATCTTCTTGAGAGATTTAACGAATTCTCACGCTTTCAGCTCCCACTCTAAAACAATCATGAGATTGTTGCTTCTCTATCTCACATTCTCTGTATCTACCTATCACTGTGTCTGTACCTATGTCCTTGTCTCTGTTTTCTTCCATCTTCATTTTTCTGCTTCTCCATTTCAGGCGATGTCTCTTTCTCCCCCTTTCTCTGTCTCTGTCTCTCAAGCTTGCTCTTTCCTGTCTCCCTCTCTCATCTGTCTCTCTCTCCCTCTCTGTGTCTCTTCTCTCACCTCTCCCCTCACCTCCTCATCCTATCACCTCTGCAAAAACACAGACTCTCGGTTCTAAGCGCCCCCAGCCCAGTCTTCCCGCCACTCCTTCCAGTGTCAAGGTCTTACCAGAAGTTCTTCATTCTCCAAATCTGTTTTCTTTTGTTGCCAACAGACCCAACAAAGAAGGGGTTGTAGGGGAGTCAGTGCCCCCCCAAGACCCCTTCACTGCCACCCCAGGACTGATGAGTTCTGGGCCAAGCCTTGGTCCTTCTGGCCCCTGTGAGGGCTAAAAGCAAAGGGAGTGAACCAGAGGCATCTGGTGACACTTTAACCGAAGCAGAGGGAAGGGTGGGGAGAGGTGGCCCTGCAAGTCCAGGCCTTCCAGGGGCGTGTCCTCAAAGCCAACGGGGTTACACCGAAGGAGGGACTAGCAGAGGGAAGTTTGCTGAAAGGAAAAAAAAAATCAGGATGTGGAGAAATTCACCGCGAAAGCCCAGGCTGGCTGCTATAGGAGCACAGAGGAAGCTTTGAGAACGGCTATAGGAGCACAGAGGAAGCTTTGAGAGGACTGAGGTGACAAGGGGCTCGCTGGGCGGCAGAGACGTGGGACTCGCGGAGCCTCGGGGCCCAGCCAGCCTAGGTTTGAATCCTCACTTGTTCTGAAGCTTGCTAGCTGTGTGTCCTTGGGCAAATTAAAATCTGCCTGTAACTCAGTGGCCTTAACTGCAGAACGGGTTGAAAATAGTTATTTTAAACAATTGTTTTGAGAATTAAACAAGATAGCAAAGCGGAGAGTCTGTGCCTGGCTCAGGAGAATAGCCGTTACTCCCCTCGTTATCCTCTCTACAGCCAACACTCACTACGTGCCCTCGGTTGAAAATGCTGGAGGACGAGTGGCATATGATTACAACACTATAAAATAAGACTAAAATCGCTGCTGTTCTGTAGATGAGAAACCTGAGGCTCAGAAAACGAAGTGACTTGTAACTTGTCCACATTTGCACAGATAATTGCTCATGTTAGCTCTCTACCTCGTGGCTGGAAATCTTATAAAATGTAAAATCAAGCTCCCTAGCTCTTCTTTCTTCATAAACTCTATAATTACCAGAGCCAAGTGGAATAGCCTTGGCAAAAAGCAGTATATTATTCTCCATAAGCAGGTCGAGAGCAAGCTAGGAGCATAGACTTGCAGAAAGAGACTTTGTCAGCCCCATGTCCCACCTACCCACGCGCCCTCCCTCCAGAACCTAAGCAGAGAGAGAAAGCCCCCACCCCACCCACCCCGGATGGGCTGCTCCTGGCCCCATCTTGGGGGACATGAGTGTCCAGTCTGAGAACACGGACCTTCAGGATCTTTTTTTTTAAAGGTTGTATTTTTCCTTTTTCTCCCCAAAGCGCCCCTGGTACATAGTTGTATATTCTTAGTTGTGGGTCTTTCTAGTTGTGGCATATGGGACGCCGCCTCAGCATGGCTTGATGAGCGGTGCCACATCCGCACCCAGGATCTGAACCGATGAAACCCTGGGCCACCATAGTGGAGCGTGTGAACTTAACCACTCAGCCACCGGGTCGGCCTCTAGAAGATCCAACAGTTCTAAGTCATGGTATCTAGGGTAAAGCAGTTTTGCTCCTCTGAAATTTCTTTAATTTTAAAATTAATTTTTTATTTAATTATAAAATAAACTATTCTTTCTTATTTTTTGATTGTTTCTTAAAAATAAAAAAATCCTTTCTTCTGCCTCCCTCGGCTGGCTGGAGAGTTTCCCCTGATGAGCTGTGACCCGGGTGAACCTGGGCGTCTAGACCGTCTGCTGGTCACTCCTTTTCTAATCAAGACCAGTCTCCCCCTGGCATGGGGTCATCCAATTCCCTACATCACCAGGGATCTGCAAGGCCCTGTCATTCTTCCATCTCTCGAAATTACGATTCCCTAGGGCAGCCGTTTTGGCTGAGTCACAGAATTACACAATCACAGCCAGGCTGTGCTTGTGAGTGGACCAGGGCTTATTTAAGTGGAGCCGTCTATTAGCCCAAACAACTGAACCTTTAACAACGGGATTCAGAGAAGAAACCGTGCAGCTGGGTCCTCCCTGCCACCCTGAAACCAAGCAGGGTGAGCCAGCCCCAGCCCCGCAGGGCAAGGGCGTTGCCAGAGGGGCCCCTCTCCTGAAGCTCCCTGGGCAATGTGGACCCTCTCCTACTACTTACTCTGGGAAGAAAGAAGAGAGGCCGATTTTCCTACACAGTTAGGTGGTTTAGAGATCTCACCTCTGCTTTTGCCCCCTCTCCCTCCCACTTTAAAGAACCCTCTAGAGCTGGCATCTGAAGGCAAGTGAGGGGGGCCTTTTAGGAAAAGATAAAAGGATAGCAAAGAAAATAGGTTTGCTTGTAAGTGGTTTGGCTTCTTTCCAGCTGGTGAGTTTTATTTAAGATGGTGAAGAGCAGGTAACAGCTCTATTAAGAGAAAACGCAAATCCAGGGAAAACAAGATATTTTTATTACACACATATTTATATATAAATTTCATTTATATATACATATATTTCAGGACATTTTTCCTCTTCTTTCCACCCCCGCTTTCTATTACTCACATTTCCTCATAGGATCTCAGACTCTCACTGGGAGCCGGGCGGACCCCCACGGTCCTGGCCGGGCCAGGCCACACCTGGAACCACGGGCACATGAGCTTTCTCAGCGTTCACGCTGTTCCCTCACTTCACCTCACCGTCTGCTCCTAAAAACCGTGAGGAAATGAAACCTGTCGGCTGTATCGGATTGTAAATGCGCTCAGACAGCTTGAAGTTTAAAATGGTCCGTGTTATGAATAGACCTATTTTATACAGAATAATTATGCTCTCATCCTCTTTACTCCCTCCCTCCCCCCAACACTGCTCTATATGGCATCCACACAGACTTATCTTTCCCTTTCCTTAAATCTAGAATTTTGTTTGCTTATAGTTGAAATCAGAGAACATCATCACAAATAATCATCTTTCTTGATCATCTGCTTTCTTACATTTGTTTACTCAATCAACAAACATTTACTGAATAACTGTATGGATGAATTACATGTGAGGAGTTGAGGAGACAGAAAGCATGAGTGCCCACAGCCTTGCCCTGGGGAAGCTCACAGCCCAGCAGGGAAATCCAGTATGAAAACAACGGCATTTGGTGAGCGAAAGGGGCTGTAGCTTCAAGAGAACAAGGATGAGCTCAGTCCAGGGGCATCGGGAAGTTTTTTATAGAGCAGGTGCAATCTTAAAGGATGAATAGGAGCCTGCCAAGGGAACAAGTGGATATGGTGCCCTTTGGGCAGAGGAAACAGCAGGCACCATGACAAAAAGGTAGAAGAGAATATTTCAGGAAACACGAGTTTAGTTCAGGAACGTTTTCACTGGGTCAATAGTTATTGGTGACTCTTCTACCAGAAGCCCTGAACTGATGTCAGCACGGAGACAGGACAGAGAAAGACCAGGTCTCTGCCACGCTGGTGGGGAGAGCAATACCAGATACATTTGCCAGAACAAACAAGATAATTTCAGTTGGAACTGTTACTAAAAAATACAAAAGAGGGCAACATGTGCTAGAGAAAGGCAGGGGTAGGTTTGGAGGCTGATCCAGACGGAGGGGTCAGGGAGCTCCTCTGAGGCGGTACCTGTTGACTAGACCCCGGCAAGAATGAAGAAGAAAGATCAGCCGGCAGGGTGGACCACAAAAGGGGTGGGGCCAGCAGAACTACCTGGCTTTGAGCTTGAGCACCTGAGTAGATGGTGATGTCGTTTTCTGAAACAATAAATGGAAGGACCTTGAGGGAGGATCTTGAAACCCGTGAAAGAATTTGGACTTTATTCTGGCTGTTATGGGAACTGGGTGAAGGGGCTGAGGGCACGGAGGACTTCTCTAGAAGTGTGTTCAGAAAGGTGCATGTGAAGTTGCTGGAGAGATGGAGCGACTGGATTTGATCAATACAGATACGTACACAAAACACAGTTTCAGAAGACAACACTTACCCACTTGAAGGTGGCGCTCTCTACTTTCTGTTTTGTCCTATTTCGTTTTTTAGTGATGGTGGCCATCTCAATAACTTGATTTCAGGACCAGCTAATGGGTTGCAACCCATGATTTTAAAAATATTGGATTAAAATGCAGTAGGTTCTAGAAATGCCAAGAGGTATATTTTCTCTTGTTTCCTGATACGGGGCACAACGGTTGGGAGGCGCCATAAAACTCACAGAATAGTGGGGCAAGTTCCTTGGTTTTAACGCAACTATAGTCTTTAGAAAATATTCTTTTTAAGTGAAATTGCCATAAACTTGTGTTAATTAAACATGGCATGACTCTCATATTTATAGATTTTATAGATTAAAACAAAGAGGCACTTTAAAAATTAGCTTTGTAATAATATGGAGTTTTAAGCTTTCTTCTGTCTATCTTACCTTTAGAAATAAAAGACCCAAAGTTCCTAGTGACACATATCAGCTGTGTGAGGATGCTGCAAATTAGCCACAGCTCGAGGCAGAAATTTATCCCGGAGATCTCCGGCTGGGAGGCTGATTAAGAGAGAGCTGCTAAATCTAGGACACCCCCAGTTTTGCATTGGGTTCAGTTTTACTGCAAAGACATTTCAGCACAATCAAAGCTCTACTTTGAATCTGCTTATTTTGGTCCTATACTTGTAATTGTAGCCTAATCGTATAAAGCAAGCAAATAGAGCCCATGACAGTAGCCATTTCTCTCTGGAATCACTCACAAACAAATGTGTTCACACCACAGACCATTAATAGAAGAATGTGTATTTAAGATAAACCCCATCCCCAGGCTTTTCAGTGCATCACTTTTGCTTCTCCTAAAATGTGACCATTTCCATTTCCCCACGGAAGACAGGAATCCATTCCCCTGCACGGAAACCAGGAGCTTCCAGGAGCTGCCGCCGGGAGCGCTGCTTCGTGGGTGGAGCGTCAGTCTGCAGCAGCCCTTGGCGTCCTGAGCCTCCCCTTCTTCTGATTAACCTCGTGTGACCCCTCAGCCTGCTTCTCCCCTCCTGGAAGGACGTCTTCTCTGTCAGTGCTTCCCACACTGCGTCAGAATCATCTGAACGACTTGTTAAAAACGTCACTGGACTCCAGCCCCAGAGTCTGATTCAGGAGATCCCGGCGGGTCTGAGAACTCACCTTTCCAACAAGCCCCCAGGCGACGCTGGGCTGCTGGTCCCGCGAGAACCACGGCTCACAAAGCTCACGTTTTCTACTCCGTTAGGCTCCCCCTCCTTTGTTACAACAGATACTGACCTTCAGAGTGTACGTGTTAAGTATTTGCTGCATAAATTTTTTAAATAATTATTAGCTGAACGCATAAGACCCACTGGGAACTTTTGTGCTCATGAAAAAATTGTACTAATTTCCTTACTAGACATGTATCAAGAAATTTACTCAGCAGAATGAAGTACAGAAACCCAAGTCTTCTCTCTGCACTATGCTCATTTATCAAGCAAGAAATCTAAAGTGTGTTCCTGAATTCCATGTTACCCTTTACCATTAAAGCATAGAGGCCAGCCCCAGTGGCCTAGTGGTTAAGTTTGGCACACTCCACTTTGGCAGTCCAGGTTCAGATCCTGGGCTCAGAACTTCACCACTCGCCTGTCAGCAGCCATGCTGTGGTGGCAGCTCGCTTTAAAAAAAGGAAGATTGACAACAGATGTTAGCTCAGGGCAAATCTTCCTCAGCAAAAAAACACATAGATAGAGATCTGTAATTCTGAAATCGCTCTTTCTGTTTTATGAAAGAACCCTTAAATAAACATTGTTTATGTTGCATCCTGTGAAATTTTATGTGCATTCACTAGCTTTCACACTCTGCGAAAATGTTTGTCTGCACTAGGTGGCAGTGTAATCCTGAAATTCGAAACCTAAGTTAAGGAGTCAGACTAGAATTTGATTTCCAGATAATTTTGATTTTAAGAAAATATTCCATTCTTGGTTATTTTCCCTATTCCTTATGCAATATTGAAGCATCATAATTGATTCCATTTTAGGGTTGCTCTCAGAATAAATGTGCAAACACAATGCACTCTGATTGTTCATGAAAGTCTATTGAAGAAGAAAGACACAAAATGAACGACTAAATTTACCTCTCCCTGGTAGGTGAGCCATTCCCTCCGTCCTCCCAGGCCCCCGCCCATTTGAGCCTTCTAACTAAACAGAGAAATCCCCTGGTTAGGAGTGTGGACTCTCCAGACTGCTTAGGTTCAAATCTCAGCACCATCACTTTCTAGCCGGGAGACCCCAGAGAGGTAATTGACCTCCCTGTGACTCAGTTTCCTCATCTGTAAACATGAATAATAAAGGTAGCCATGTTATAGGCATACGTCAAGAATTAAAATGAATGCTTAAAATAGAGCTTAAAATGGTGCCTGGAGCGCAATGAAGTTCAGCGACACATTTTTTTGCTATTATGCTGCGCTCTCCCCTACTTAACTCTCCCGCTCTGTCCCATTCTGCTGCAGGAAGTGGTGGCTCGTTCAGATCTCCTTACAGGTGAAGAAGGTCTCTGTGCTGGAGGCGGGAAACCCTTAGGCAACATACAGCTAGTGGGAAGACCCCCCTGCAGCTCTGGAGGCCAGCCAATCGGAAGCCCGCTCCTCCGTCCACACTCACATCTCTGGTCGTTTGCTACTCGCACGATTCTCCCTCCCGCAAAGCTGCCCTTAACAAGCCCTTGACGCTCACCTCACCCACAGTCATACCTTCTCTTTCACGATGCTCTGTGGTTCTTCAAGAACGTTTATCATCACCATCCTATTTGTACCTCATGACAGTCCAACAAGGTAGATGTGACCATCAGTTCTCCTGGTGAAGGAGCTTAGAGGAAGAGGCAGGAGGGCCGTGTGAGTTCACGGTGACTTGGTGACGGAAGAGGCCTCCCAGGTTGTTGACTGAGGCTTGAACAGACACAAGATCAGGCGACTCCACCAATCACTGTGGAACAAGCAAGCACTGTGAACAAGATGCTTACAAATACATGGATATAAAACCGGCTTCTTCATTTTAGAAATAATATGGGAACATTACAGAAAAGTAGAAATATAGACGTAGAAAAAAGGAATCACTCAGTGGGACAACTCGCTGTGAACGTTTTAGGATGTTTTCTTCAGTCCATTTCTAGGCACAAGCTGTGGTCACACTCGGCACAGTTTTACAACTTCCGTGATAGACATCACTCAGAGGACTTGCGCATTTTCTTTCAGAAAACTTAAATGCAATCATCCAGCACGCATGGAATGGACCGCAGACCCCGGGAGGAAGAACTCTGCCTTGGAGTCAAGGCTACAGCTTTTAATTCTGACTGCTGTAACCTCGAAAGAGAAAACAACTGTAGAGAAAGAAACATCTGAGTAAGTGGGGGAGGCTCTTCCAGCAGCTTGTGGTTTTTGAAAGACGTCCTTGCTCTCACCCAAAGCCCTGTGGGGCTGTGAACTCACAGCCACCGACTGACCACAGAGCAGAGAGGCGTGTGTGGACATTCCAGAGGCACCAAAGGGCAGCCCCAGGGGAGTCCTGCCTGCCACCACTCCTGCACTTCAAACATCCCTGAAACCACAGTTAACGCCAGGAACGGCAGTCACGGTGACCCGTGGGCAGGTGAGAGAGACCCTGTGTTCTTCAGGACTGAAGGCAGAGCCTCGACAGGCCGCAAGGGCCCCACCATTACAGCACCCAGGGGTCCCAGGCAGCGAGCAGTCCAGGGTGGACCAGCAAGGGTGCAAAAGTGGACAGGGAGTGCCAGGATGGTGACGGACGCTCAGGACCAGGACTGCTGCTATCATCCCCGTCTGTCATGGCCAACGGCTCCACCAGGGTTTCTGGGACCTTTTCTAGAAGTGCGATATAAGAAGGAAATGGGAGAGGCCCACTCCTCCACCATGCCAGGAACTGTGCTTCCTACTTAAAGAAGTTATGCCCTTTAATCCTCATGACTGTTATTATTGCCATTTTACAGTTGAGGAAAGTGAGGCTCAAAGACGTTAGAGAACTCACTAAGAGAAACTCCTTAGTGACAGGCCAAACTAAGCTTGGATTTATCTGACACCAAAGCCAATGTTCTTCCCATAATTATCGTTTCTGAGTACACACACACACACAATGCATGATGTGCTTAAGTACATTTTCCATTTCACTGTGCATCTAATCCTTCATTATTATTTTCTTTTCTTCTTAAACTATCAAGCTGAAGAACTCCTGAAAGAGTATTTATCTGGAGAATACAAAAACACTAATTTGGAAAGATGCATGCACCCCTATATGTTCACTGCAGCATTATTCACAGTAGCCAAGATATGGAAACAACTTAAGTGTGCATTGATGAAGTAATGAATAAAGAAGATGTGGTGTGTATATGTGTGTGATGGAATACTATGCAGCCATGAAAAGAATGAAATCTTGTCATTTGCAGCAACACGGATGGAGCTTGAGGGTATCATGCTAAATGAAATAACTCAGAAGAAGAAAGACAAACCCCACATGATTTCACTCATATGTGGAATCTAAAAAAAAACAAATGAAAAAACAAACAAACAAAACAGAAACAAACTCACAGATACAGAGTACAGATCAGTGGTTACCAGAAGGGAAGGGGGTTGAAGGGGTGGGCAGAAGGGATGAAGGGAGTCAATTATAGGGTGATAGATGATAGCTAGATTTTTGGAGGTGATCACTTTGCAGCGCATACAGATGTTGAATTATAATATCATACACCTGAAACTTATATAATAAAAAAAAGAGAGAGTTGATAAGATTTTCCCGTTGTACTGGTCACCGACTTGGTGCCCTAATTGAGCGAGCTGTGGCCAAAGGTTTACCTTACTGGAGCTTTGCTAAAAGCTACAAAGAGTGGTAGGAAAAGTCTTTTATATATTTTCCTGTGGTTCTATCCGTATCAAAATTTGTCTCAGGTTCTAAACTCCCGCAAGTTAGGGACCTCGAGGATTTATAATCCCTCCCACACTTTCTCACCGGCTGCAGTCATCACATTGTATGTCTCTCAGTAGCCAAACTTCAACCAACGCCATATTTAGAGCACAGTGCTGGGCACTAAGGAAATTTTCAGAGCCAAGTGATGCCTATCTGCTCCCAAAGACGGACACAACGTATGCACACACACATACCCACACCCCAAAACTGTGAAGCACACTTTGGCCTAAAAGGACCCCCAAAGAAAATAAGTAGAACCATAAACAAGCATTCTGGAGACAGAAAGGCAGAGAAACTGGTATTGTCCAGGAGGATTCAAAAGCATTTCACAGAGCAAGTGACATTTGACCTTGACTTTGAGGAATGAATGGTATTTTCCAAGCAGAGAAGGGCAGAAAGGGTTACAAGGCAGTTGGAACAATGAGCAAAACCTCAGAGGCGTGAAAATGCACGGAGTGTGTTTAATGATGTTAAGACACAACTTAGCTTTGTGAAAACATTATTTGTGTGTCACAGGTAACCTAGGGCTTGAGCACATTAGTGTCATTAAACTGCGTTTGGCAAATAAATAAATAATGGGTCTGACAATGTTTGAGACTATCTTATATTCGGCTGCCTACCGCATTAATGTTCTGTCACTGAAAAACGAATCTGCAATCCATTTGCTACAGTGGAAAACGTAGAAAGAAGGGTTTCAGTTGTGGAGTGGCACAGTTCTAATAGAACATTTTTGTTGTCTGCAAAGGGTTCTCAGTTTGGGGATTCCGTCAAGACACAGGAACACCAGGTGCCCTGAGGCCAGCAGCAAGGGAAGAGAGGCAAGAGGTCTTTATACTGCCACTGACGTTACGATTCATTTCTTCCATTAATACTAATAAGAGGCTACTAAGCTTGACTAAAGTGAGCTGCTAGGAAGGGTCGATGGCATCAGCAGCTGGCAATGCCTTCATTTCCTTGGGGGAAAGCTGATCGGTAAATAAAGATACACATTACTTAAAAAAATAGAGGTCCAAGAGAATCCTGGGTACATACTCAGTGATGGCTTCAGGCTACAAGAATGAAGGCACAGAGCCAAGAGTGGGAGACGTGTTGTGTGCAGGGGAGAGATTTGCAATGGAAGTTGCTCTGAATGGTGAGATGAGCTCTCCAGAGGAGCTCAGAAGGGAGGCAGAAAGAGGCAGAGTGTATCTGGAGAAACTCAAATGGGAATCGGCATGCCCGTGGTGTATTTCCTAAAACCCATTCAGTCAAGCGGAACAAAATAGTAAAGAAGCAATAAAGAATAAATGACCTAGAATTATCGGCCTCAACAAGGACAACTCGCTACATGGGGTTGCCTTCAGAAGCTGATGTAGAGAAACTGCAGCCCCACAGGCTTTCATCACTGTAGATGTTCTTCTAAGCTCTCTTATCTGAGAGGACACCATGGAAAGCCAGAAAATGTTAATACTGTAAACTGTTATTATAAGAATCATAGGAGTAACAAGTAGAACTCTGTCTCTTGTACAATATTGGGAAATGACATTTGGCTACAGATTTGTACCATAATAAAGTTGTCCACAAATACACACTATAAATACAGAAGGCAAGAAATAAATAACTTCAGTGTTATATCTGGAGGCTAAATAAGAGACCCTTGACGTGTTCTTGTGAGCAGCTATTTAAAAAGAAAAAATCCACCAAGTTAGGTGACCCTCGTTGGATTATAAATAACCTTAAAAAGGCTTTTTTAAAGAAATTGAAAGATTATAAAAAGCCTCGGGGTTTTGCTGTGTTGCCTACAGAGCCCACCACATTCATTCCTGTTGCTCTGTGACCAGAGTTACACCGGAGACAAATTCAACTATAATTTGCATAGTTGCGATTCATGTGTTTCCTTTAAAAAGTTAAGGTTTCGCTTTCTGCCAGACCTAAGTACTGCTGAGAAATAGCGATGCCAGTTTTACTATAAAATATTATATAAATTATATATAATATTTTAATATAAAATATTATATTTAATATAAAATGTAACCTTTCTCTTCATGTGCTACATCTTCCAAAACACCATTCGTCTCTCACCTACCACACTGTGCGCCCCACCCAGGGCACACTTCCGAGGCCTTCTTCAGCAAGCACCCCTTCCTCGAAGTCCCCGTCCCTCCAGGCAGATGGTCTCCATTCTCCTCACTCATAGGAAAAGTCATTTAATGAAATGACGTGACATTCCGTTTCACAAGCAGAAGAGTATAGTAGAGAAAGCAGGAGCATCTAAGATTGGAAGACCTGGACTCAAGCTCTTCCTCGGTCCCCCACCATGTGTCCTGTCGGTAGTCCTGTGACATCACTGAAACAGCTTCCTTTCTGCCAAACGGGGATGTCGCTTGGAGGCTTACTCTGAGACTCAGTGAGCTAATCCACGTGCAAAGCACAAAGTGCTTTTATTTCAGAAGTATTTAGGAAGCACCCCTTATATGCAGGACCCAGGTTTGAAAAAAGCCGAGTAATCAAAATTGAAGAAGGCAAATTATCAACTCAAAAGACCTTAAAATGCAGTAGAGGAGTGAAGACAAATACTTTAGTAATTAAAACACACGGTGGTAAATAGTAAGTGCCTTGAGTAACACCTTAGGACTTCAACTCAACTTGACAAATATTCATGAAACAGGCTTTCGAGATACAAAATAAACATTATGGGTCACTGTCACCTGTCTGGGGAGAAGTCAGACGCACAGCAACAATGTCAATACAAGGTAGATGATGATAAACACTGTAACAGGTCTGGGTGGATAAACAGACAAGAAGACTCAGGCCCAGATGCTCAAGGATCGAGCTTGACAGGTGTCAGAGCTTAGGATCCGTTTCCAAAGACTGTTATTTTTATTTCCAGAAGATGTGAAAAGGACCAGATCTGGCATCAGATTGACCAACCCTGTAAGGCAGATGGATGCTGGGAAGAAGTGGAGATTCAGCTGAGCTGAGAAAGCACCCCAGTGAGAGACTGGGGGTGGATTATGTTTCTGCACGGCTGCAGCGGAGAGCTAACCACAGTGGAAGAGAAGAGACGAGCGTCAGTGGAGGTCAGGAGACAAGAGAGGGAGAAGCCAAGGCAGCCGTTGGAGGACAACAGGATCTAGCAAAAGCTTGTTTGTTTATTTGTTTGTCTTAAAATCATTTTTAAAAATAACAATTGTGTGGTGTTTATTACATGCTGGTGCTGTTCTAAGCATTTGACCTATATTGAGTCATCTGATCACGCGGCCACTGTGAGGGTGGGCAAGGCCATCCCCGCTGCGGCAATGCGGGGACAGAGGGTGGAGGGCGGCCCACGTTTGAGAGCAAGGAGCCAGTGCAGAACTCGACAGAGGAAGAGCTCAGGGATGAGACCACCAGTGTTTTCCTCATTACATTTTTCTTTAACTCCTAACTGCTCTACAATAGGCATTATCATCTTTATAATCAGGAAATTAAACAACAGGAAAACAGGCAATCACTTTGGTGATTTATATTGTCTTTAAATCATTCTATATTTCTTCTATGTAAAAATAAGCTTTCCAATAAGACAGTTAGCTCCCTGAGAGTAGGAGGGGTGCCTTATTTCTCCTTTCCCCTCACCATCCAG